TGGGAGAGGGAGAGAGAGGGAGAGGGAGATAGAGGGAGAGGGAGAGAGAGAGTGGGAGTGGGGGGAGGGAGAAGGATAGAAGAAGAAAGGGGAGAGGATGAGGGAGTGGGAGAGGGGGAGGGAGGAGGACAGAAGAAGAAAAGGGAGAGGGAGAGAGGAAGAGGGGGAGGGAGGAGGACAGAAGAAAATTGGAAGTTTTATATTTCATAAATGATAACATCAATAAAACAACATAAAACATGACAGCAAAAATAGCATCAAAAACAACAATAGCAACAATAACAACAATATCAATAATAATACTCATACTACTACTAATATAACCACTACTAATAATGGTATAAATCAAACTCTTACTACTACTACAAATAAAAAAATGCAATAGAAGTAATAATTATGGTAATAATTACAATAATAATAATAATAATAATAATAATAATAATAATAATAATAATGATAAGGAATGTCTCTATCAACACTATTAGGTTATTTAAGAGGCTGGACCTCCGAGTTTAACGTCTATCTCCGAAAGGACAGAGCCAAATTGTAGGGTGGTCTTTTGCCTCTTGACAGACTTATCAGGTTTGCTCGGGCGGTAAACATAGCGGAGGTTGACTTCTCAAGTATTATTCTACTCCTTCTTTCCCTTCTGATCTTCACTTCCTGCATAAAAGAAAATTCTCCAAAGGAGAGACAGCATAAGTACGTTTGGAATCAAAGATGGTTTAAGGGTGTGTGACTATTTCTCCTTTGTGTAAGGGTGTGTCTGACTATTTCTTGTTTGTGTAAGGGTGTGTCTGACCATTTCTTGTTTGTGTAAAGGTGTGTCTGACCATTTTTTTTGTTTGTGTAAGGGTGTGTCTGACCATTTCTTGTTTGTGTAAGGGTGTGTCTGACCATTTCTTGTTTGTGTAAGGGTGTGTCTGACCATTTCTTGTTTATGTAAAGGCGTGCTGACTATTTTTTTTATTTTTTTCTCTGCCAGTTCTAATGAGTAGTCGGGTACATGTACTTCAACTGTCAGTGCTACTGATTATTTTATTTTTATGTGTGTCTATTTTTCCTGTTCAGTAGGGCTCTTTCCTTAAAGGACATTTCGATAAGTGAATTGTTTTGAAGCCATATGATTCGTTAAATGAACCGTAACTTTAGGTTCGATGATCCTCGAAGTAGGCACTGAAAGCTTTTCAGTAAGAGTTTTAAGGCACTTGCAACACACAAACGTCATGCAAAGTGCCGAAGATTACAAATGTTACAAGAGAGTAACAAACACGTAAAAGAAGAAAAAGAAATATAAAAGATAATATATATATTATTTAATAGAAATGAAGGAACGAACTACACCTGAGCCCCGCCAACCACTCAGGCACTGGACAAGTTGTTTTTTTAAAGTACCAGTGCTCCAGATAGGGCAGAGCCATGGAAAAACAGAATAAACCACAGTTGGGCATCCGCCAACCACCTACACCCTGAAAAGAATTTGACCCTCCTAGTACCCTAAGGAAGACGAAAAGGTCAGCACAACAGAACCAAAATTGGCAGTCAGCTGATCACTTCCCAGAATAGAATTATTTCAGTGTTTTTCAGAGGTATCACAAAGAAATTGTTTTTTCTTTGATCTAAGAATCATATTTCAACGAAATTTCACATACAAATATCTAGGACGTCAGCATCTAAATTTAGAGTGACATTTTCTTATTTCTAAGTTTGTATTAAAGGCGGGTGTGTCAGGCCAGTAAAAGCTAGTATGGCAACATGGCGGGTAGGCCGATTTTAGGCCGCATGGCTCAAAACGGGCTAAAAACGTAACGTACCAGAATTGTTCGTGCTCTAGATAGAGAGGTTCCACCTGCCAACCACCCACGCATTGAAAAAAGGTTTAAAAACTAACCAGAATTCTCGTGCTGTAGAGAGAGAGAGAGAGAGAGAGAGAGAGAGAGAGAGAGAGAGAGAGAGAGAGAGAGAGGTTCCACCCACCAACCACCTATGCATTGAAAAAGGTTTCAAAGCGTGCATGAAATCTCGTGTTGTATAGACAGAGGGGTTCCATGGAAAGAAGGAGCAAACCACACCAGAACACCCGCCAACCGCTCACACATTTTAAAAAAAGTTTAATAGCGTACCCGAATTATCGTGTTGCCGATAGAGAAGTTACACCCGCCAACCACACCCACATTGAAAAAAAAAGGTTTTTAAAAAACGTACCCGAATTCTCGTGCTGTAGATAGAGAGGCTCCACATTGAAGGTTCTGTGTAGAGCCCGTGCATCCTTGACCCACATAGCGCTGCAGTCAAAGTGAACCATCAGCCACTTGCTGGGGTTGAAGGCGAACGAGTCGGAGAACTCTATGCCTGTTTTGGGTGTGCGTTTGTGAGTCGGTTTGTTGTATAGTTGGTTGGTTGGATGTTGTGTTGTTTGGTAGGTTAGTTGTTTGGTTGGTTGGTTGGTTGGTTGGTTGGATGGTTGGTTGGTTTGTTGTATGAATGTTTGTTTGTTTAGTTTTTGTTTGTTTGAAAAAGAAACAGAAACAATGAGAACTTCCTTGTGATAACAATCATTTAGTCAATATATCACAATAATAATGACCGTAACAGAAAATCAGTTGTATATAATATACTATAATATATGTTGGGTTTTTATTTTCCTTGCATAATATGTCCTCTAATCTAGCTATTTATCTTTTTATAGTCTGTCTGTCTATCTCGTATCTATCGATCTATCTATCGATTATCCACCCCAAAAAAATAAACCCCACAGTGTATCACCTGCCATCCAGGATCTGAACTCGGGACATATGAAGGCAGAGCCAGCATACGCAGCATCCAGATGTAGCCAGAGCTTCTCTGACCGACCTGAAGGATGGAGGAATGGATGGATGGATGGATGGATGGATGGATGGATGGGTGGGTGGGTGGGTGGGTGG